ATATTTATACATTTATAAATATATATATATATATATATATATATATATATATATATATATATATATATATATGTATATATATATATATATATATATATATATATATATATATATATATATATATATATATATATATATATATATATATATATATATATATATATATATATATATATATATATATATATATATATATGTACACACACACACATGTACAATGTAACAGCTTATTTTTTATTATTTTTTTTTAACATCTTCGCTTCCAACAAGGCTGCAAGACACCACTAATTAGTGTTGGAAATTACTGGAAGAGAAAAGATAAATATTGTAGAGCAAGATAACAATTGACAGACGACTTAAAAGATTGCAAATTTTATGAAATAGGAAAGCAAGATGAAGAAAGCGAATTCCAAAGAACAGATGAAAAAAAGGAGGAAAAAAACTAGACGAATAAGAGTTTTTGGAGCAATTAGGAAAAGTCACACAGAAAGAATGAGACTTACATGAATGACGAGTAACACAAGAGTAAATTTTAGTAGATGGCACAAGAGACGCTGGCTCTTTAGAGCAGTACCAATTAAAGTATTTGTAGAAAAGAGTAAGAGAAGCAACATTACGACGATGTAACAATGGTTAACGGTTGGCTGCAAAAGCAGGTCCAACTGTGTTTATAGTGCGTTTTTGCACCTTGTCTTAAAGAGAAAGGGCATCATTAGAAGATCCGTCCCAGATATGGCAACAGTATTCCATACAAGGCCGGATTTGAGAGTTATAGAGAATAGAATAGAATCCAGAGAATAGAATCCAGAGTAAGAAAGTGTCATGCTTGATAAAGAGATGCAACTTTAGCAGATGCTAATTTTGCAACGGATTTGATTTATGGTTTCCAAGAAAGATCAGAAGTAAGAGTTAATCCTAGAAGATGAAGGATAGATGACTCATCGAGTACATTATCGTTCATAAATATAGGAAGGTCTAAACTATTGCGATAACGATTGGCTGAAAAAAATTGAGTTTTATCTGAATTAAAGTTCACCAGCTACTGTGAGTCCCATGCTGTAGCATGGGACTCACAGTGGCTGGTGCAAATGCCCTCTCCAAGCAACCAGAGAGAGTTGGCTTCTTATCATAACAAGAATAAAAGGTAGTACCATCAGCGAACAATGCCACCTTAGATGAGAGAATATCTGGAAGATTATTAATGTAAATTAAAAAGAGTATAGGGCCAAGAATTAAACCTTGAGTAACCCCTGAGGTTACAGAATAAGAAGAAGAGTGCTGTCCATCAAGAAAAACCTTTATACTACGATTGGAAATGAAGGATTCAATAATCTTAAAGATGTTTTCAGATACAACGTAAGAAGAAAGCTTATAGAGAAGACTAGCATGCCAAATTTTATCAAAAGCTTTAGAAATGTCAAGAACGATAGCCTTAACCTCTCCACCTTTATCTAATGCACGATTAAACCGATTGGTTATTACTGTTAGCAAATCAGCCGTAGAACGAGAAAATCGAAATCCATATTGACGATCAGAAAGTAAGTTATTAGATTCAAGATGAGAGATTAAGTGTTTGTTAATTAAAGATTTAGTTAGACAAATTAGATTGCTCTCCAGAATTTTTAAAAATAGGGATAACAGGTAACAAGACTCTGATAAGCACTTGTTGAATAGTTTTGAAAGGATAGGCGACAGCTCCGGAGAACATTTCTGCAAGGTTGTAACAGGTATGTTGTCCAGGCCACAAGCTGTAGAAGAGTCTAAGCAGGAATTTACTTAAGATACAGAGGCTGAAGTGATACGAATGTCGAGCAGTGGATCAACCTGTTTGACGGCTATATCAGGTAGAACGCAACTAGTAGAACCAAGAGATGATGGATAAAGAGAAAGGGCTTGGTCAATATGATCAGAAATAACCTTAAGAAGAATGCAGTCTTGTGATGAAGGAGAGCAATTTAGAACAAAGAGAAAGGTGATAGAGTGAAGTGGTGCTAAACGAAAGCACATAAAAGAGTAGTCTGTGGATTCAAACCTGGTTTCCCGACAAATAGTGAATTCTCACGAATATAAATACCCAGGCCAAGCATGTGACTATTGGAGTCTTTATGAATTAAAGGAAGATAACCATCATCACTAAGATCACAAGATGAGACAGCTAAACTTAAATTAGTCTCACAAAGAGCAAGTAAATCTGGTGAACTTTGCAAGAGATAAGATTCAAAAGAAGAAAAGTTACTTCGAAGACCACGAATATTAGTGAATGATAGATTTAGCGAACTTGGTGATGACAGTGATTTTTTGTGTTTTATAGTATATATATATATATATATATATATATATATATATATATATATATATATATATATATATATATATATATATATATATATATATATATATATATATATATGAAAGTATGAGTTTCTTAACTACAGAGGCGATTTTTTTAAGAGGAAGGGGGGGGGGAGGGAGTTACAAGTTTTTTTAACACATTTCAGTC